AAACAAGGAAGGATGCCTAAAATTCTCAAGCGCGGGAAATGTCTTCAGAAGAAGGTGAGCGGTATTGCATGGTGCAGAAGTTTCCGCTGCCTTAAAGACACATAGTACGCTCACACACACATTGAGGGTGTATGAGACTATCAGCCCCCAGCTGTCGATGTGTCGTGGTCCCCCCCCAAACATGCCCAGGAATGGAGACAACAGAACCGTGAAACACGCTAATTCCTCCATGCTCCGCCTTACACCTTTTTGCGGCGCAGATTTCCGTCCTTCATAACATCCGTCGTAAGCGCGCGTGTCGCGTGCGGCTCCTTGGCACTTTGCCAAGTCCTTTAATTGCGCTTTCAAATACAAGTAAAACGCAATTTCCTGATGCGGATAACATTGGAGGTGCTGCAAAATAAGAACAGAAGATGATGACGAGGGTCAGAACTTAAAAGCAACTGTGCCACTTCTGCAACATCCCTCGGAGGCCGCGTATGTCCACGAAACATGAAAATAAAAACGGCATACTCGTTAGTTTAATACAAGCAAAACGCAATTTCCTGATGCGAATAAAATTTGAGGTGGCTGCTCATGCTTCAAAATTCATGTACAAGGAGATGAAGATGACACAGGCTAGAAATGAAGCACAACGATGTAAATGTAAATAAAACAAAAATGAAAAAATCAAGGAAAGGCAAATTAGTTGAAATCGCCTGTAAATTTCTACGATCCGGCGCGAATCCGGCGCCAAAGCCATAGAAATACTTAGAACAAACGAGTGGGACGCTTGGGTTGTTTTTATTCTCATGTTTTGTGGGAATGCGCGGCCTCTGATGGATACTGCAGATGCAGCCGAGTTGCTCTTGAGTTCTGGCCCTCGTCATCATCTTCTGTTCTTATTTTGTAGCACCTCCAATACATATCCGTCCATCAGGGATAATTGCGTTATTACCATTGCATTCAGAGCGCGATTAAAAGGACTTGGCAAAGTTGCCAATGAGCCGCAAGCGACACGCAGCCGCTTAGCGACGGATGGATAATGAAGACGGAAATCTGCGCCGCAAAAGGTGTAAGGCGGAGCATGGAGGAACTTAGCGTGTTTCACGGTCCTGTATCTCCATTCCTGGGCATGTTTGGGCGGGGGGACCACGACACATCGACAGCTGGGGGCTGATAGTCTCATACACCCTCAATGTGTTTGAGCGTACTATGTGTCTTTAAGTGGTGGAATTCGTTTTCGTGGTTTTTTCTGAGTCGGACATAATTATAATTTTGCTCCGGTCGGCGTGCACCGTCTATTCAGGTTTTCATTCTGCTCATCTAGCAATTTCACTAAATTGAACTCTTCTGCAGGTCGACACCCTTATCCCTGAGGCGTGGCAGTTGTACATGACACGGATGGGTTACCAACAACTTGAGACAACTGCTTAAGTGTAGGACAGGAACACGACCACAATTGCATCAAGTTGAAAATACCTCTCCAGAAATACAGTCACCACCTTTGATTGGAGTATGCCGCCATGCCTACCACATCTCAGGGATTTCGAGAGTAATTCTAAGCACGCTGAAGACTTGAAATGTGGCTTACCTCTATCCAGTAATTGCAGAAGATGTGCTCTCGGTCTCGGCCCACATCAAAATCGTCAAAGGTGAAGGTCTTCGACTTCCAGTCGAGAGATGCTTCAAGAATTTCACCACATCCTTCTGGCTATAATTCACCCTGTCATCTGTTCCAACAGAACGCAATATGACTATGAAGATGCAGCTGAATTGTCAAAACCGGTCGGCATGGAGTCAGGAGACGTGAAATGAGGTCACTCCCGGCTACGTCTTACCATTAGCAGTAGTGACCGCATAAAGGAAGAAAAGAACCAGTGGTAGAAAAACGCCGCGGCAAGACTTTCATGCTCCTGACGTGCCGACTGATTGCGTGACATAAGATATATGTATGGTCCCAGGTCTATTCGATCAAGTGGAAAATATCAAGGCTTTTCTTGTATGCATGCAGCCTTACCAGTTCGTCACAAAGCCTTGCCGCCGTAGCCGTATGGGCAAATGCATACATCGCATTCTCTGGGATTTGGAACTCCTCCATTTGCGCACATAACCTTGTTGGAGTATTCACATTGAGCTGTAAATTGGAATGTTTACAGCCTTCAAAAACTGATGGTAACAACCTGCTGTATTCAGATTGCTGTTGAGGATCATTAGGCTGCACGCAGAGGAGTCCTCATGGTTTTGTCTCTGCGATGTCCGCAATGCCATCGAATGCCGAGTTATGAGTAAAGGTTCCCCTTCCAGTCAAGACTTTAGTTTGGACCTCAGCGTGTTAGCTATATATCAGGAGAGTAGAAGGCAGGTCGTTCAGGTCGTGGTGAGCTTTTTAAAAACGGTTTGTTGCATGATGTAGGGGTCCATGCAAGGACCACACAGATGGGGTTCATTTTTGCTAAACGGTATTGGGAACGTCAAGAAAGGGTCGAGAAGAATTTGGGAAAAAACGGACGATTTAAACCACCTTATTCAGCCGCGTTCTAGCTCTAGCGTTGAGAGTGTATAGTTCATGGGGCGAACTTCTAGGGAACCGCGCAGAAAAAGGCCAAAATCCAAGTTCTCAGTACTTTGAGAGCGTAATAGTTGAGTAGGGCCCGCTTCGAGAACTATTAGTGCATAGAATGTGCCCTTAAATGGCATATATGCGGCTTATACACATTATCGGGCACACAGGAACTCAAGAAGGAAGAAATCTGAAAAATGCAAAAAGTGTCTCCAAGGGGATCCAGTCCAGAAACACCGTAGATTGAGAGTCCGTTGCACTACCCACTACACCATCCATCCACTGCGACGGGTGAGATGCGGGAGCCATTGAAGAAGCATGCGGAGGATGACGATGAAACTTCAATGTAGCTCACCACATGCCAGGTGAAGTACTTGGATTTTGATTAAATTTTGCGTTGTTTTCCATGTCTACTAAATTTCATCCTCATAAACTATACACTCTCAACGCTACAGCTAGAACAGAGCTGAATAATGTGGTTCAAATCGCCCTTTCTTCTCAAATTTTTGCATACCCTTTTTCTGGCGTTCCCAATACCGTTTGGCGAAAATGAACCTCATCTGTGTGATCTTCGCATGGAACCCTAAGTCGTGCATAAACCATTTTTGAAAAGCTCACCGCGACTCGAACGAGCTCCCTTGTTAGTTCACTTGAGGCAGTGAGTTCAGCAAGGATAGGTGCCGTCTCGTTCTTGGAGTATAAGCTCGAACTACTTCGGCAGTTGACATGTGGCAAACCATGAAACTGGCTGTGCCTCGCCGTGGGTATGCTCTTTTCACGGTCGCACGGGGTAAGCAATTATTACAATTTTGCAGGTGTGCAGAATAGCATGGATGATCGAACTGATTTGAAGTAGCACCAAAATCTCAATATACCATCGCAGTTGTAGTGCCTGTTAACCATCACAATGTCGTAAAAAGAAAGAATGGGCGAGCCCATTGTCCGTAAATAACTTGGATCACTGGGCGTTATTTCGAAAACGTCGCAATCATAATATCTGAAATCACAACCAAATGGTATTTCACAAATCTGGAGCAGACTCAAAAATCACAGAAAACTAACCTTGCAGCGTAGTGCATGATGCTGCCGTACTCGTATGGTGTGTAATTGATAAGGCTTTCAGTAGCAGGCTTCTTTTTGTAGTGCTCTTTCATGTAATCCTGGAT